GTTAAACAGAGAAACCCTGTGTAGAAAAACAAAACAAACAAAAAAATTTTTATGTGAAATTGCGAGTGGTAGCACATTCCTATAAACCAAGCAGTAGGATCCTAAAATTCAAATCCAGTCTCTCCTCTCTTCCTCTCCCTTTCAGATCAGATGTAGGCTCTTAGCTACTGCTCCAGCACCATGTCTGCTGCCATGCTTCTCGCCATGATGGTCACGAACTCATTCTCTGAAACTATAAGCAAGCTCCCAATTAAGCGCTTCCTTTTATAAGTTGCCTTAATCATGGTGTCTCTTCATAGCAACAGAAAAGTAACTCGGAGACCCTCACATCTGAAACTTTCTACTAGTCTGCCTTTCTGTTCTAGAAATGAAAGTGTATTAAGATCTCAGAAGTTTTTATATGCTTTTTCAGCCTTTTTTCCACAACAATAGCCTATCCTCCTACAGCTTCCTGATTTTTCCCATCTGCACACCCAAAAGCACAGAGATGAGTCTCATCACTGATGCCAAATAAAAAGAATGCTTTTAAACTTCACAGTCTCAAGCTAATATAACAGCCCTTTAAAGGTATTCACACTGGGGCCTAGGTTATATAAGAGAAGCCAACAGGAATTCTAGCCCAGAACAAGAGAGATTTTGGGGGTAGAACTGGGTATATAAAGGACAAGGGAACACCTCTACTCCAAGACAAGTTGGAAAACAAGAATGTTTGTAAGAATGATATTCTCCAAGAGAACATGTCTGCTAAAAGACATGAGGGGGAAACAAAGGAGTTCTACTACTATTAGTAACAATTTAAGGAACAAAGTAATTGTTATCTACTCTAAGAATATTCCAGGCCATCCACTAAGGAACATGTCTTTCCCACCAAATTAAGTTCCTTGCTAAGTTATCAGTCTGGGACCTTATTGTACTTTCAGTTGTCAAGGAAAACCTTGGGTACCCATTCCACTTTATGTCATAGTGCCACTGTGGTAATTTGTGTATTGTAATGTTTTATTAATCCAGGCCCATATATTCAGTCAAATCAGCCTCAGGTGCAATTTTACACACATTACTTATATTCATACTATAGTTTTACTTGTACAAACAGAAATAGCAATAGCATGGCTGAGGGCTTTAGCTCAGTTGTAGAGTGTATGCGTAGAGTGAGCAAGACTCTAGGTTTGATCCTCAGTACTGCAAAAAAAAAATTTAATTTCTCTCAAGTATACAGTACATCGAAATTCCCACCTACAGTTAACAAAAGCAACATATCTTCGTGTACATGACATACATGGCTCTCTTATGATTTATGCTCCTTTCCTTTCATATTCTGAGCCTTAAAATTCCTGTTTTCAGGTTAGGGATGTGTGCACATCAGTGGGACAGCACCTGCCTAGCATGCACAGGCCCTGGACTCCATCCTCAATCTCACAGGGAAAAAGGTGTTTTCTTCTTCCTGGTCCTGGAATAACCACTCACGTGGACATCCTGAACACTCCCACACTAGGTCTACACCTGCCTCTCTAGGGGAGGCTGGTTTTCTCCACGTTTAAATCTCCTGTTGGGGCTGGAGAGACGTCTCAGTGGCTAAAATACTCGGTGGTCTTGTAGAGGACCCGGTTCAGTCCCAGTTCCCACATGGTGGCTCACAGCCATAACTGACTCAAGCTCCAGGGACCCACACTCTTCATCTCCCCCTTTTCCAAGCTGCACATGGCGTACATGCACACATGGAGGCAAACCTCACACACACAAAATAAATCCAAAAAGATAATTTCTTGCCAGGCATTGCTGCACGCCTTTAACCCTCGGGAGGCAGAGGCAGGTGGATCTCTGTGAGCCTAAGGTCTACAGAGCGAGTTCCAGGACAGCCAAGGCTACACAAACCCTGTCTCTAAAAAAACAAAAACAAAAATAATCTTTTTTCTTTAAATTCCTCCTTTACCATTCATGGTAATGCACACCCATAATCCCAGCACTTCACAAGCAAAGGCAGGAGAATCACAGATTCAAAGTTAGCTGGAGCTACACAGCAATACCTTACCCCAAACAACAAAACAAAAATTCCTTTGTTCAGATGAGAGCAACTAAGGTACTGCCTGCCTGGGCCTCTCCCTAACCTAAGTAAAAGGATTTCATTTAGCTACTGCAGAGTGAGTGAGTTCAACCCTGCCTGTTATATGACACCCCCTGCCCCCCAAAAAAACTCATGACAAAACACTAAACAGAGAGAAAGTTAGATCCCTAGTCAGAGAAAAGTCTTTATGACTCTTTCCTGAGAATGTGTCCCTTAGCTAGGAATAGTGACAAGTGCCTATAAATCACAGCACTCAGAGGTGGAGGCAGGAGAATCATGAGATCTAGGCTAGCCTGTCTACATAGTGATACCCTGCCTCAGAAACAAAACAAAGGGATGCAATCCTTCAGCTCCAAGTTGGCCTCCTGCTCAGTCTTCCCTTAATTTTACACTCCCTAAAACTGGAACAGAAAATACAAAAGAGGAAGGAGAAGCAGCAAAGGATACTCACCATCACCGCTAGCTGCCTATAAGCCTTCTTCAGTTCAATATCTGATGCTGTAGCTTCAACCCCCAGCACATGAAAAGGGTTGAGTTCATCCTCAGGAACCCCAGCCATGGTCAAAAGGCGGGCCACTTCCTCTTCTGGCTGGCAGGAGCGCCCACTAGCTGCAGTTGCATTACCTTGCTTACTAGTCCTCTGCTTGACCCAAGGCAACTCCAGCCAGTTCCACTGAACCAATCTTACCAGCTGCTGCCATGCCCTGCTATCTCGAAACAGAGTCAAGCCACGGTGCAAGGCTGGAGAATCCAGCCAAGAGAACATCCAAGTGGTCTTATCCCTCCAGCCTAAACGGTCACCCAGGCCCACCAAAAACCGCCAGCCCAACTGTAGACAACCCAAAAAGAGGGCAAGAGCCAGAAGTAGGAAAGCACCCACTAGCCTAAGAAAACGGGTGAGTAGCCCCGCTGCACAGTAAAAGCTCTGGCTTAGAAACTGGGCCATCACCTGGGCCCAGCCCCCCAATCTCCCTGCCCAGACTCCCACCCAAACTCGAAAAAGGTCCAGATCACTGCCTTTCAGCTGCCTGCATGCATAAATGAGATGGCCACAAGTTTCTACATACTCTCCCACCAATACCAGAAGTTCAATCAGCCACCAGAAGCCCGCCTGTCCAAGCTGACATAGTTCCTCTACTCCCCACAGTCCCAGGCCTCTGCGCTTATCCGCCTGATTTCGTTTTCGGCCCAGCCGATGACGACCAGGAGACCTGGGATCTCTGCGTCCACTATCCCGAGTATCCTCCTTGGTCAAAAAACGGTGTCTCTGCCTCCGGGATGGGGGTTTCTTCCCACTGGACACACGTGAGAAATCACTGGGAAACTTAAGAGGTTCCTCATCATCATATTCTTCTTCTAATTCTTCATCTTCCCCCAAGGCTGGAGAGGTGCAATGGTGGCAGAAGTTGCCAGAAGGGCCATCTCCTTCCTCAGAGTGAGCCCCTTCAGGGACTCCAGGGCTGCTTCCCCGGCAGTTACACGCAGATGGAATGGAAAGAAAAGAAGGGCTGCCATCCTCCTGGTACCCAGTCTCATTATCTCTTGAGAGCTCCTGGTCCACTCCGGACTCTTCCGAAGACGCGTCACTCTCGTCAGGGTCACCTCCTTCCCTAGGTGGTCCCGGACCCCTTGGAGGACCATGGCTTGGATCCGACCAGTGGGCTGGGTTCGGGGGCTGTGTGTACTTAGGACCAGAGCGCTCGGCGAGGCAGCGCGTACCATTAGGAGCCGTCTCCGATGAGTCCCCGAGTCCTGAGAATGAAAGTTTTCCAGGGTCCACAGAGGGTCCTGAGGTCCTGAGGGAGGCACCACAGCTGTGCTGGGCTCCACACAACCCTCCTTCTCCGGGGTGCTTCTGGGCCATGACCCCGGGGCTTCCTGCCGGACTTTAGGTCACAGCCATCCTGGTTCAAGTTCCACTGCCTGCAACAAAGGCATCAAGTTGGGGGACGGTCAGGGACAGAGCCGAGAGGGAAAGTTCAACAATGCCCCCACTCCCCCTACCGCGGAGGCGCGAACTGTTTGGGGGACATTTCGCTAACCCTAACAATAAACCGGAATGAGACTGACCACAAACCCTGCTTGCACCAACCCCGACCTCAGAAAGGCCCCCCCGACCCCCGAGATCTTCATGCTGTGTCTTCTTCCCCCCCCTACCCCCCAGGAAACTCAACTCTCTTCGGATCTGGGAGACGGGTGGGGGGGTGGGGTCACCGCAAAGGGTGTGGTCGGGGAGGGGGGGATTAGTCTTAAAATAAAAAAAAGACTGCCTGGAAGAGAGAGGCCGCGATCTGTCAGGAAAGGGTGGGGACGGCACAGCTTCAGGGGGGAAAGCCAAGGGCGGAGCCTACGCGGTGCCCCGGCAAAAGGCGCCCCCCGCCCCGGGAACCCCCCGCCCGGGGACCAGGGGCAGGGGACGACGTACCGAACAGCGGCGGTAACTCCTCCCCCTCGAGCAGCAGCCGCGCCGGAGGCCAGGGGGAGCTACGAGAGCAGCTCCCCCGGCTCCGCCTCCCGCTCACGCTCCGCTTCCGCCTTCCGTCCCCGCCGCCGCGGCGGCCTACTTCCACTTCCGGGGTCACCGTGGGGGGGGGG